ACAGCACACTCTCAAAATTACTCCTTAAGCAGCCTTGGTGCAGACCACACAGAAAACACCGCCTCCAAAAGTTCCTCCATTGTTGTGTACATACGTTGCTTAGCAATGGCACTGGTATTGTTCCGTGTTCACAGAGCCGTTGACTAGAGATGGCTGTTTCTCTGGCTCCCTTATTCTACCTGTCAGGCCTCATGCCATAGCCTACCAAGATATACAGTGTCACATCCCAGAAGACAATAATCTTTAGACTTAAAGAGGTACGAGTACCTGTGGAGACTAAAATTTTGTATCTAAACATCATTGTACAATACAGTCCCTGACAGAGCTAAAGTTACCTCCATCTGAAGGGACCAAAGCAGAAAAATGCTACATCAAATTGGACCATTACATCACATTTTGTTAGGAGAACAGAGGGGTTTGTTGTATACTACTAGTACATTTTACATCATCATCATCATCATCATCATCAGTAATCTGTCAAGACGACAGGTCCACGGTCTCTTCCAAAACAATTCCTCCACTTAATGCGATACATTTTACATTTTTTTTTAAATTTAAACATTTTACATAAAATTTTTAAATTTGTTGGAGTGAAGGTTCTCAGAGCAGTAACTATGGCCATGTAGACCAGCTCAAAATCAACTGACATTTCAATACATTTCAAGAAATGTAAGCAAGTTTCCAAATATAAACTAGAGATCATTCACTCATGTGGTAAAATATATAAAAGTTCACTTAATAAAACAATTACTAACATGGACATTACAGCAGAACAGGAAGCTAACTGTATTTTTTAAAGAATGTTTGAATGCAATGACTGGGGCATATTTGAGAAAAATTACATCTTGCGAGAAGGCTCCACTGCTGCCACCAGGTGAGCGGTTGTCATTATACTGACAGATTTGTTATTACATTTTTATTCTAAGCACTGCCATTTAGATGAAGAAGAGAAAGTGGAGAAGAATAACAGCAACAGCAATGACAACAATAATAATAAAAACAAATCTGTCAACGTAATAATGACTAGTGACCTGAAAATGGAGTGGAACCAATTCCCATAATTTCTATATCAAATATACTGCAAACAATTTCCCATGACCAGGTTCTGTGAATCTCTTCACCATCATGTACTATGTTTTATTTGTTAATGAGATATATCATAAATGGATAATTTAGATTTGGGCTGGATGTGTCCTGAAAATTATATTGGGTACAGCAGATAAGAGATGGAACTGCTTCATGCTCTTCTCAACTGCCTTCTCTATCCATCATCCCTCACCTTCCTTTCTTCACTTTTACTTCACTTTCCACTCTTATGCGCAAAGATATTTATTTCAGCACAAATTCTTCATATAAATTTTAAAACCACAGAAATTCAAAGTATAATGCTTACATGGAAGACACTTGATGGTAACCATGATGCTAAATCATGAGTTGAAGAATGCACCTTAATCATTTCCTAACATACATTAGTAGATAATTCTAATTCAGTGACGTAACTATAAGTCACTCAGCTGAAAAAAGTCTAAAAATGAAAGCCACATTAGGAAATTCATCATGATAAAGCCCAGCGCACAAACCACCAGCTGCAGCAAGTGGCATTTGGCCATCTGAACAGGGCAGTCAAGACATACCAACACAGAGATTGAATTCCTAAACACATTATAAGGGATATGTGCAAGAGGAAAAGAATGGAAATAAAAAGAGCATTAAGAATGCCAACTTCTGGGATGTGGCAGTCTTGCATGAACTGATGTTTTGGAGGAAGGTGTCGCCTCTATCTTCAGGGTAGAAAAATCTGCCAGCAAGGAACCAGTGTGAGCAGGTGGCTAGCAGACATCCCAGAAATCGGCATTCTTCATAGTAACCGCTGCTAAAACCTCAAATCTTACAAACAGAGCATTAGCTGTATCATAATATGAAAAGAACAACAGACAGTGAAACACCTATATATAAAATTTCTTTTGGGAACAGTGGATCTGACACTGCACTGAGGAAAATTTTAAATGGGGGAAATTTATTAATGAGATTACTGATTTGAGATCACTCTCACTGAACTTCAAATGAGAGAAAATGTAAAATCAAGGAAAATTAAATGGGGTTCCACTGCAGTTCTCACAAGATGCCATCCTTTTACAGATGCTCTTCAAATGATAGAAATGCCATACAACAGAAACAACATATAAAGATTAGGCTGTCTGTTGTACATGTACGAGTACAACAGACAGCACATGATGAAATATGAAAGCAAACAGAAGGGAATCCTTTTATGATGGATACTTAGAAACACACACATTCAATAAAATGTGCCTCATCGCTACGTCGCACGTAGCGATGAGGAATCCTGAACAATTTTAATATTTTTAACGTTTGACATTTGTCAATGTATATGATAGATATATATTTTAGTTATTTTAATGTGAGGACAAGGCATGCAATGAACTAGTTTGGCGTGGATTGAGTAAGCACCTGAAGATGGCATTTTTATGCCGAAACATGTAGTGCGAGTGAGAGAAGGAGATAGATGAGTTTATGCACTGCAAGACGGTTTAAATAAATCATGGACTTAAATCAGTGCAACAGGACGTTAAAATATAACATTAATAAACGTACATGTTAAGTATCAATAAAGTGTGTGTATTAACCTGAGCCTAAATATTTCTAATGACAGCATGCACAATAAACATACTATTATTTTGGACACTGTCGATCATCTTGATTTTTTTCAAACACAAATCTTCAGAAATTGGATCAGTTTCATCATCAGAAACATGGAAGAAAAGGTTCCTACTTGGTAGGACGCATTAGAAGAAGGAAGTTTTGATCACTTCACATTGAAAGAAGTTTTTAGACAGAGCATACATTCTGTTAATGTTGACATTAACAGAATATGTGCTCCACTCAAATTTTCTTTCAACATCCAACGACCAAAACTAGCTATTTCTAGTGCATCCACATAAATAAGAATCTTCCCTCCCTTATGCCCAGTGACAGAAACAGATCCAATTTGTGGAACTGCTGGACAAACCTAACAACAACAAACAATGTCCAACAAAATAATAAAGTTTATAAGTGTTTTAACTTCGCTCTTCCAATCTGATTATGTCAAAATTCTGTATACATAAATGAGTGATAAAAATGTAAACATACACCAAATAAATATTTGACTACCACTACAATGGTCACTACTTTATTCTAGGCCATATCTCAGTATTAACTTCTTATACATGTCTTGCTGCATTCACTCTATCTGCTATATGGCCCATAGAACTTACTTACTTACTTATTCATGGAGCTGAGGCCTTCTGGAGGAGCCACCAAATCTGCAGCTACTCAAGAAAATCCCAGCATCTTATGGAACCCAAAAGTTCATTACTGTGTTCACAAGAGCCCTCCGCTGGTCCTTATCCCAAGCCAGATTAATCCAATCCACATGATCCCATTCTATATCTCTAAGATCCATTTTAATATTGTTCACCCACCTATGCCTCGGTCTTCCCAGTGGTCTCTTTCCTTCTGGCTTTCCCACCAATATCCTATACGTATTCCTCGTCTCCCCCATTCATGCTACATGCCCTGCCCACCTCATCCTCCTTGACTTGTTCATTCTAATTATACTTGGAGAAGAGTAAAAGTTATGAAGCTCTTCATTATGCAGTTTTGTCCAACCTCCTGTCACTTCATCTCTCTTCTTTCCAAATATTCTCCTCAACACCCTGTTCTCAAACACCCTCAGTCTATGTTCCTCCCTTAATGTCAGAGACCAAGTTTCACACCCATACAGAACCACAGGCAAAAGTATAGTTATGTATATTTTAATTTTTAT